GGTGCCGCCCGGAGCTGGTGCCGCCCCCTGCTCCGCCGCTCTGGTCCCGCCTCCCGGACCAAGAGTTTCGATTCCCCGCTGCACACACAGAAACGGGGAAATTGTGCTCTCTTCGTACCAAAAGTAGCGGCGGGGGAGGAGCAAAGAGACAGGAAAGGCGGCGGGGGGGCCCGGAGCGGGAATCTGGCGATGGGGCAGGGATATGGGAATGTGGATACATGGGTGGGGTATGGGAATACATGGGGAGATGGCTACAGGGATATGATATGGAAATATGTAAGGATATACCTACAGGGATGTGCTATGGAATACATGGGGACACTGCTATGGGTCCAGGGCCACCAGGGCCCGGTCTCCTGCCTGAGACTGGCCTGCAGAAACACCTGAACTGTCCAGGATGAAGGGGGCATATCAAATGGATCACGGGACCATATGGAGATCATTTGCACCGTATAGATCACATAAGGCAAATTTCAGCCTCATGGACTGTTACAAACCATGTGGGGACCACACGACATCACAAGGACACCACATTGAGGCTGCTTGGACTGCAGATTGCAGGCAAAAAGGCCACAAAGACATGAGACCGCTTGGAATGTGTGAAGAAGGAACCTGTAGGACACAGTGACTTGGGGCAAATGTAGGACAAATTTCAGGGGATGCAGTGAGATGCCTCTGCAGGGGAGCCTCCTCACCTCTTCCTTCCTTCACCTTGCTCCTGAGTGCAATGGTGTGCAGGCCAGTGCTCCACGGCTTCAACCCCTCTCCAGGCAGATTCCCACCCCTCCGAGACCCTCATCCCTGCACGGGACTGCAGGGATGGGGATGGGTCCTGCGGTGGTGCCAGCCGGGGGACAGTGGCACACAGCTGCTGCTGTGCCAGAGGATGGCATTGTGCTCACAGGGAGGGCTGGGAAAAGAGAAGGGGGATGTTCGGGTGGTGGCGTTTGTCTTCTCAAGCCACTGTTGCTGTGATGGAGCCAGCCAGGGGATGGCTGAACCTGCCAGTGGGAAATGGGGAATTCATCCCTTGGTTTGCTTCGCTTGCACGTGCAGCTTTTGCTTCCCTCATAAAGCAACGTTATCTCAAACCAGAAGGGGTTTGGTTTTTTTCTCTTTGACCATTTGATTCACTCCACCGTCCCACCAGGATCATGTGTAGGGCTCAGTTGTTGTCTGACAGAAGGAACATAAAATGAGTCCTTCCCTTGATAGGTGCAATAAAACTGACCCTTCTCTTCCCTGCTTTTTCTGTGTGCTGGGCTGAGGGGTGGACAGGGCAAGGTGAGGCACCTCCTGGGCCACTTGGAACAGTTTTGCATGTCTGGAGCAAAGTCTTCATTGTAGTTCTCTCGGGATGTAGCACAGCCAGAACAAACACCGGTGTTCAGAGACAAGGGACAGGGAGGGATCTAACTAGAAGTTTATCCTCCAGCATCTCGGCTCTCAGAATTAAGGCAAAATTTGAAAAATTGAAACTGAAAATGAAAGGCAAAAATAGGCAGATCATAAAAAAAGGAAGTAGAACCCAAAACAAGTATGACTTTTTTTTTTTTTTCCTCTCTCTTCTGGAAAATGTAGGTTCACTGAAAAACCAATAAAACCTTCTTTTAAGAAAGAATCAGTTCTTATTATTCTGGACTAATCTGAAACAACTCAGGTGGAAAACATGTTTTCCTGTTGGTATTTTCAAGAAGAATATTTTAGTATTTTAAATTCAAGACAATGCTTTATCACAGTATTTGAATTAATGCAGAAAGTGTGAAAAAGTAACCAAAAAAAGAAGATAAAAACATAATTTACATAAAATATTTTTTAAATTTAATTTTTTTAATTCTTCTCATTTGTCTTCTTGAATAGCATTATTTTCCAAGGTTTTGGCTTTTTACCAAAATTCTAAAATTTGTGTGACAGGTAAGAAACCATTTGTAGCTTAGTTTAATGGTTAAAATCTAAAAATGTCTGTGGCACAAATTATAGTGAACGTTGCACCATGTCAAATTTTGGGTGTACCTCAGTGGTTGATGCTGTTTGCCCTGAGCACCTGAATTTGCTGCTTCTCTCCAGCAGAGGCAGGTGTAGAATGATGTGAAGTCTGCTCTGACATTTTTAATGCCACCTTTCCTGGGAATCCTGCTTCAGACTGGTTCTTGCTGCTCTCTGGCCTCGCCACTGGAGGACACAGCTGCATGCTCATGTGGTGGTGTGTGAACAGACAGGTTTGTTTCATGCTTAGCTTGTCTGAAGATGCTTCTGCACGTGTTTACTTTGTGATTAAGACCTCCACTGAGAGCCAGGGAGAATCCAGGCAGGAAATGACAGCCAAGGCCTGCAGGGCTATAGGGAGACATGGACTCAGGTGTTGTGAACATGATGGTCCCACCAATGAGCAGGTCAAAGATCATTGCTGGACTGACTCGGAGCACTGCAACAGTTGCTAGATTTTGGCAGCAGGGCTGGTTTCTTGTGATATTTGCATGGCTTGGAAACAGCTTGTATTTTTTTTATTCTTCCCTTATTTTTTTTTTTTTCCTAGTATGGACATACTTCTGGTCTAGTGAGCGACCTGAGGCTGCAGAATTAAACTGGGGAAGGTAGATGACTGAAATGGAAATATTATGTAATGATAGTTTCCTTCAGGGCCAAAAAAAGAATAAGCTACTGTTTCACTTATTTGCACTGTAGCCAGGAGTTTGCCTCCATGATCCTGATGGGTCCCTTCCAAGTCAGCATATTCTGTGATTCTAAGGTGAGAATGCCCAGTGGTAGATATTAATTCCTGGGAATATTGATTCCTGTCAGAGGGTGATATTTCTCTTGCTGATGAGTGAAGATGTGCAGCAGCCTTGTCTTGTAGGCAATGCAGTTGCTGAGGAGGCACCTTTGGGCAATAGAGAGGTGTAGCTGTAGCTGAGGGTGAAACCCACATCACAGGGGAGTTCTTTGGAACTGCTTAAATGGATATAAGGAATTGTCTCCAGACACATCTTTCCATACCCCTTGTAGAAATGTTTACGGTGGTAGGACTCTGATAGTGCATTGTTCATTAAAGCTTTTGATCTTTAAGCTCAAATGTGCTTTCAGGGGTACAACAAGGGGCACATGTGGGAGGCCCTGTGTGCCTGTCCAGACCTGTGGGACTGTCTGTGTCTGTGTGTGACCCCACCTGCCCTCTGTGAGCTCCAAAACTCCTTGGAGCTGTGGCAGCCTCCTCTCTCTCCCAGGCTGCTCCTAACAGTGGTGATGGAGGGGGAAAGCTCTTTCCATGGTCCCGTGCTCTGGATGTGCACCCAGAGGTTGGTCTTTGGCTGAGGGATGTGAGAAAAGGCTCTCGTAGAAGGGAGCAAGGATTCCAATGTGCCCATGGATGGGCCCACAGAGATGCCACCAACATCATCCAGGACAGTGTGAGCAAGGCCAGAGCCACAGAATGGCCAGGGCTTGTTCTCCACTGAGCACAGGTGAGCCCAGAGCAGTTTGGTGTGGCCAGTGGGGGCTGTGGAGACAAATGGGCCTGAAAGGAGGCTCTCCAAGGAGCTGCTGATGCCTTCTTGGGGCTACCTAAAAAGAGAGGCCAGACAAAATAAAGGGAATAATAAACAGTTATATTTATTGAAGGACATTTCAGGTACAGATACAGGCAGATTCAGGTACATTTCAGGCAGATGAAGTGCCCCAGGAGCTACACCCAAAATGGACTTTCATGGGTTTTCAGACTTTTGTAACTTTTATAAGTTTGGTCCATTTGCATATTGGGGGTTAATCTTCCAATTACAGCTTCAGCTAATGAAGTAATTAACCCCAAATTTGTTGT